GATTTGAAAATTAGATTGAGCTTACAGAAGACAAAATGATCTAAAAACAACCATAATCAAAGCATGGGAGAAAATAACTACAGAAAAAAAAATCTCTAGTAAAATTAATGCCTCAACGTCTGCAAGCAGTTATTCTGGCAAAGGGTTGCCTAACTAAATATTGAAATGTAATTTCTTGCCTAAATTTAGAAAATCTTTTTATTTGTGTCAGTATTTTTTTTTGCAACAAAATAATTGATGAATATAAGCACAGTTGATTTCTTTATGTTATATAAACTATTTGACAATTTTTAAATACAATGGCTCAAGAATTTCAAATAATAGATAGTTTTTTCTTTAAAAAAAAATTAACTATGATTTTTTAATTATACAATTTTTACTACTAATAATAAAGAAATCTGTAAACCTGTGTTACATTTATCCTGCCTAAAATGATGAATGGTCAATCTTCTTGACTTAACTCATATATTTTTGCAAATACCTCTTGATAGTATGCAACTCTTCCTGTTATCTTATAATGAAGGTACAACTTAACTTTTGTATTTCTCAATCCCTTACTCAGATAGTTAACTTTGTTACTTGTTTTCCATAAAGCCCAAATGACTTATTCTCACTCCTTAACTTGTGTCTAATCTCTGACCCTAGCTTGTGTTCATTTTCTCCTTATTCTCCTTTGATGACTCTGACCAAGCAATGATTTTTATAAATCTTTTATCACATGCATTTTCTCACCCTATAACGATTTTAAAAACTCTGGAGAACACTCTGATTGTCAGAGAGTAAGTTATTAATTTTAAGTCTTACAACTCTCTGACAATCAATATGGTTTTTGAATCTTCTTGTTCTACAGCTGACTTGCTAACTGCTGTAACTGAAAGATTCTATCAAGCATTAGGCAGCGAGGCAAGGACTATTGCTCTATATTAAAAGCTTTTAATAAAGTTTGGCATGCTGCTCTTCTCTATAACCTTGTTTCATTTGAAAAGAATGGAACAAGCAAAGTGAATTTAAACAAGAGAAAACCAGCATGATGATCATTATAAGAAGACAAAAAGTCATCATTCAAAACTGTCCATTCATGGTCTAAAAAATTTTATTTATCTGTTTTTTTTCCCCCCACACTTCAATGCTTTGGAGCTCATTCTAATGTTTTCCTGACTCATATATATATATATATATATATATATATATATATATATATATATATATATATATATATATATATATATATATATATATATATATATATATATATATATATATATATATATATATATATATATATATATATATATATATATATATATATATATATATATATATATATATATATATATATATATATATATATATAGTCATTAGGCCGGATCATAAAAATTAATTTTTTTTAGAATTTGTGAAAAGTGGCGTGATATAGTGTTGTTTAATATTTACAAAAAATTTTTTTCTAAAGAATTGATTATACTTTGCATTTTGCAGTTTTAGGGTTTTATATGCTAAGCATATTTACTTTAGTACATGCATTAACTGAAACATGCATTTAACCCTAATACTAGATATAATCCCAAGGTTATGAAATTGAACCAAACCTATACCTACCTAACTAAATTAACCCTAATGATATGATTAACTCCAACGCTATTATAACCTTATATTATTATATTATTATTATTATATTATTCTATTTTTATATGATTGTTTATTAATTTCTGCTTTTATCAACTGATTGCAGAATTTATCTGTCTCATCTTGTATTTTTAGAAATTAACTGAAATTCTGATATGTTATAAAATAGTAAAACAATAATGATTTCAAGATCTAAAGCTTCAAAGAATCGTCATATACTTTTTGGAGAAGGTCGTGAATTACCCAATTTTTGGGTAATTCACAACCTTCTCCAAAAAGTATATGACTTGTCTGAGAAGAATTATGAAACTGAACCACTACGGTCTGTTTGTAAGAGACTAGCAGAGAAACTTTCTCAGATATGGATTAAAGCATCAGTTCCTACTATAAGTCTTCGAGGCATAGAATTACAGCTGGAGAAGTACATAGGCGATGTTCAGAAAGTGATTTGATCAAGTCTGCAACAGTCAAACAAGATGAAGTAGAAAAAGATCTTGACACATTGTTTGACATTTGTTCGTGTAAATGCAAAGAACTTTCGTCTTGTTGCTGTCCAATGGTTCTGAAGGTGCCAGCAATTGAGCATGACTTCCTAACTGATTAACGCACTATATGTGTTGGCAGAATAGCTGGAATCGACAAGAAGGAATCCGCACGTGCTGAGAGGCGTTTAAAACGAAAATCTGTTTCATTATCAAAGGAAGAGACTGCAGTTAAGTGTGCCAGAGTCGTTGAAGCATCTGATAATGAATCAGATAATGAAACAGACAACAATTCTGACACCGAAACTTATTCCTCTTCCGTATCAGATGTTGATACCGAAGTCACATCTACTCGTCTGAAAAACCGTTGTTTAAAAAATATTGCTCTACAAGCAGATGGTTTTGGCATATCAGATAGAGCAGTTGCCGCGATTGTATCAGCAACTCTGGTTGATAACTGGACCATTCATGGTCCCATTCATTTAATGGACCAATTGACAAGTCTATTTCAATGTCTGTTCAGAAACCCATAGTCAGCTTTGCCATAATTGTTGGTGAACCTATTATATGCGATAAGCAGTTGTTAAGCAGTGATCAACTGTACTTTTTCGAAATTGTTAATGCGGTGAAGACAGGTGTTGTACCAGATAGATTTAATTCTAGAACACCTGGGCGACTAAACCATGCAAGGTGGTTGACACTAGCAAACCGTGTTCTACGCCTCTATATATCTACTGAAGATCCATCAAATGAACTAAGATCCATCAAATGAACTTTTGGCTAAATTTATTGTGAATTCATATGCGGTTGTTTGGTCTGACATTAAGAAACATTTAAACTGCTGGAATGGTGCTCCACACTATTATAAAATGATAGAAAAATCACGATTATTTCCTGTGCGTTATCGAATAATTGTTCAGCAAGTTCTGAAGCGCAATAGCTACCCGGCTCATATCGAGAGCATTATTCTGGCTATGCTCAAAGACAACCGTCAAGTGATCCGTAAGCTTGCGTTGAAGAGAATTCTTCGTGCTCGTGAAGATGACATACCAAATCGAAAACTCCCTGAGATACGATTTCAAGCGACTAGTTATGAAGAACTGATTGACTGGCAAACACAGCCCCGCTTGGAACCTGTTCTGACAAAACATATTCCAACTGTACAAATATTGGCATGGCTTTCGTCAGTTGAAGACATAGTTATTGACATTGAGCCATTTCCATGTCACAATCAAAGTGTTGAACGTGTGATTAAAATTGTGACTGAATCAGCATCCAAAGTTTATGGTCATGAAAATCGTGATGGCTATATTCGCGTTCAACTGGAGCGCTGCAAGTTGATGCCTCACTTTGACACAAAATCTGAATTTAAGAACATTTAAGTATAGTTTCTAATCAACGTTTGCTAATGATATATTGTTTTGACTGTTCAAATAATTTGAATTTTATTATACATTCAATCAATAAATAATGTAACAAATGAGCGTTTTTAAGTTAATTCATTTGAAGGTAAAAATGCAAAGTATAGCAAAGTAGTAGCGAAAAACGGTTTGCAGCGTATTTGAGAGCCAATTACTGGAAATTCCTGAAGAAATTTTCCAAATTTTTTTAAGTTATGATCCGGCCTAATAGTCATGCATAGTAGCCGAAAAGTTTCTTCCAAAAAATGTAGTTAATAAACCAGACCAGAAAAGTTTAAAAACTTAAATAATTTCGATGGACTGCCTGCCCTAACCATACCCTCAGCCAATGTAGCAGCACTCTGTTGCAAGTCAGGCTATAAGATAGTCGATGTAGCAACACTCAATTGCAAGTCAGGCTATAAGATAGTCGATGCAGCAACACTCTATTTATTACAATCTCCATCTATTGCAATAAAATTTAAAAAGGAAAAAGAACTGTAATATGATGTTTCTGTTTAACTGTATGAAACAACTTTACCAATAGTTAAAAAATTTGTTATGAATATTTAAAAGAATTGGAATTCCTGAAACATAACATACTTTAATTTTCTAGTGTTTAGTCTTAGGTAAATAAAGGTAAGCAAAAAATAATAGTAATATTTGATTATTTAAAAAAGATTTTTTAAATAATCAGAACATTTGCATCTACGACCAACTTAAATAAAAAATAAACCATATAACAAATATTTTTTTCATCTACTTGAAACATAAAAATTTGTCAAAAATATAAACTCCTTTAATACTAAATTGATTTAGAAAACCTTTAAAAAATGTTCTTTTTATACGAAAAATTAAAAAAAAAGTAAAAACTGCAGTGGTGAGAGTGGAGTAGAATGGTTTTTGACCAAGAGACCTTCTTAAAAAGATCTTCACAAAAGTCAACAATAACTATGTTTTTCATTATTGGCTGTTTATTCTTTTACTTAAATCATAATTAAAAGAAATTTTTTTATTATCAATTCTACCAATTCTTTATTTTTTAAATACTCACAAAATAGACACATGCTCATGAGGTAAACACATGCTTGAGGGGGAAATATATGCTCATGAGATAAACAAATGCTCATAAGGTAAACACATGCTTGTAAGGTAAACACTTGAGGTAAACTTGTTCAAAAAAATAAAACAGCTACAGTATAAGTACCTAGGTGATAACAAGTGACACCAAGCTTGAGGAAAAAAAAGTAAAAAAAAAAGGTGATATAACAAAAATGATATAGATATAAGATTTAGTAAAGCAATACAAACTAACTAAAAAAAATAATAAACAAACTTAAAAAAAAAGGTTAAAAAAAAGGTTAAAAAAAGATAATATAAATAAAATTTAGTAAAGCAATACAAACAAACTGAAAAAATTACTGATTAATAATTATTTAATAACTAATGATAAATAATAATAAACAAACTATAAAAAACCATGTTTGCAAACCTTTTTCGAAAAAATCATTTTCAACATTTCACAAGCTTTGACCTGCACAAAAAATTAAAAAACTACTGACCAATTTACAATTTTAGAGTTTAAAATAATTAAAAAGATCTTTGAAAAAAAAATCATACTTTTCTAAAATTATTGCATCCTTTATATAAAAATTGGAACAAATTTTCTGTGAATTTCCATCCTATTTCCTGTAAACAATGATTTAAAAAATATTGAAAAAAATACTTTTGACAACAGGAAGAAAAAAAACCCCAAAAAAACCCAGCTAAAACTCACAGGAAACCGCTGAATAACTTCAACAAACAAAACAGGCTGTAAATGTGATGACCTTTAAAAAACAGTTGATTCATAAAAACCAGAAATAAAATCTTCAATACTTTGAATGATTTAATGTAAGCATGACTCATTTAAGAATACCTCTTTGTCATGAACTCAGCCATTGCATCATTTAAGCATTTAACAAGACGTTCTTCATCAACAACACCAGTTTGCTTAATAAAACATTTTTGTTAACACATTTTCAAAATAGAAATATAGAAAATACAAGTTTTATAATGATTACATTATTTTTTATATTTAGATTATTTTACACTTTTTATACGCGCTCAACTCGTTTCTCCGCGCAGCAGCCTTGCTCGTCAAGGTTTGTGTTTCGGAGTTATAGAGTTGAGAGAGGGTTATAACCACAAATAAGTAGCCTTCTCGTCTGTAGTGGCCTTCTCGGCCTTGAGGAGATGAATTAATATAAAAAAAATATATATATATATTATTAATGATTATATATTATTCATATAATTTACTTGAATTTTTTCTTCTTTATTTCCTTTTTTTTTCCTTTGTGATCTAGTGATGATAGGGGAGGGCTCTTTGATATCAGAATTTCCACGCAAAACTCTTATCTAAAAACATAAAAGTCAAACTTTTGTGACACAAGACAATACATGTCTACCAATCACATAAAAACTTTACGTATATCTGGTGGATTCAAATAATTTTTTTATATATTGCATAAATCAAGTGCTAAGAACTTTGATCCATGCAATATGCAGCAAAACAATCATACCAAATAAACCAATCAAAATAACTATACCAAATAAACAACTGCATAGGTTACATATGTGACAAAAAGAGCAGATGAAGCTAAAAAATAATAAACTTTTAATTTTAAAATATATTAATAAAAAACAAACAAAAATAACAACGACAACAAAAAAGTTTAAATTTAGTAACATAAGCACAAGAGATTTCTAAAGACAAAAAAAACACCTGATTTTGCTGCAACAACTAGTCTTTCAATTCTGTCATGTATACTTTTGATATCAAGTGATGAATGCAGTGGGTATTCATGCAAGGAACATAACTTGTTTTTAAAAATGCCAAGTGTACGTTCAAATAAGTATTGCTCGTCAGTATGGCTTTGAGAAACACGAATAAGCTCAAGTAGTGGCTCTACTAGATCCTTAAAATTAATACTAGCTGTACTTAATGAAAAGCTCAAAAACTATGAAAGTTTCTTTTTGTGTTTATGTGTTTAATTTTATTTATGAGATTAATATATAAGTTATAAAAAATATTTATAACTTATATATTCAACACATAAAACTTTATATAAATGACAATAACATGTATTAATAAAAAAGTTATTAACAAAAGTTTAAAATCCAAAATTAAAACATATTTACTAAAACTTTTGGATCTTTAGCTTGTTTTTTTATAAATATTTCAATCAAATCCAACACTCTCAATTTAAAGTGAATAACTGATTTCTTCAATTCTTTCTTTTCCTTTTTTTCAACTTCTTTTTGTTTTCTGGAGCGAAAAACAGCTGCCAATGCTTGGTCCATACAATCCAGAAGTTTAGGGTCACAAGTGTCCATATCTATATCTTCTTCTTCATCCTATAATATATAATATATAAGTAATATTAAATAAGAAAAATAAAAAATAAAACACATGCAAACATGAGTTGGGGTCAACACCTGGGTTGAGGTCAAATACTTATTTGTATTTCTATTTTGTAATAATATGCTCTATTTGTATTGTATTTGATTAAAAACTTTTTAAATATTTGTATTTGATTAAAATTTGTACTTGTAGTTCCATAAACTATATTATTCTTAATAATAAACTATATTATTCTTAATAATAACTACATTTTATGAGTATTGTCTTACAAGTTGTTTAGTTATTCATCAAATAATTTCAATAATTATTCTTCAATTACTTCTTATTAAGTTAGAAATAAAAATGCAATAAATGCAATAAACATTTTTATTGTAAAATACAATAACAATATAAGTAACAGAAAGTCCTCTTTTGTTTTGTTTTAGCAGAAATATTTTTGAGATATGAGCTATTTTTTTCAAACTTATCCTAAAAATTAAGAAAAAATGCATTATTTAATAAAATAAACAAAAATTAAGAAAAAATGTTATGAACATAACAAATTTTAAATAACATCTGATCAATTTTTATAATTTTTTTATAACACAAAACTAATAATAATTAAAGCTGATTATTAGTTTTTTTTTTTTTTTTTTTTTTTTTTTTTTTTTTTTTAAACTGTAAGTTAAAAATTGTTTGTGTTTTTCTTAACCTAAAATATAAGCATTTACTTTTGAAAAACACTAATCACAAATATTTGTATTTGAATTTGTGTTTGGGAACATATTTTATTAGATCCAAAGTATTTGACATCAACCCCGATGAACATATACACATAATACATAACCATTTACCTCATCATTTACTGCAAAATCTCCAAGTGCAGTTTTAACATCTGCTCTAAGTTTTTCATCTATCTCAATATTTTCATCATCGTTTTCAGAATCTGAATTTTCGCTATCTTCAACATCATCACCATTTTTTTCATTATCATCTTCTTTTTCTTCACTCTACAAAAGAAAAAAGAAGAAATGAAGACACGTTTTTTTACTAATACTAGTTTTATTATAAAACACAGTTTTATTACTAGTTGTATTATAAAATACAGTTATGGTCTAAAAAGCATTATTGTAATGTCTAGTGTACACATTTATTACTAAAAAACATTTAAATACACAAAAATAAAAGAATAAAAAAGTCATAATGTAAAACAGATTTAAGTACTATGGCTTTTTGAACTTTTAGCCTTTATTTTTTTTGTTTTATATTTTCTTTGGCCTTTATCCTTTTTGGCAATCAAGGCAACAAAAGATTTACAAATTTATTTTAAGATGCCTAGCTTTTATTTTTGCTGTTCTTAAATTTGCTAGTGATGTTGGGTTCTGTTTAGAAACTTCTGCTCTCAATCTTATTCAACAGTTTTCTATTCCAATTTAAATTTGATGAATCACTCAGCTACATTGCAAGAACATTAATTGCATTTTCTTGGAGCCATGTCTTGGCAATTTTTGCCTTATGAAAAGTTCCCTTGTTGTGCATAAAAATGTCAAACATTTTAATATAAAACCAATTATAAAGATTGTTTTTCAAAATTTCTAAACAATTTGTGGAATTGATTGCAACCCAAATCAATATTACATTAACATTTACACTAGAAAACATTTTAATGTTTTGTTTTGACTTAGTAAACAATTCACAGTCAAACAGCATATCATGTTGTCAGTTTTTGGAGTAGTAACCCTTAGTCTTCCACAGGGTTTTCCTGGATTGATACCGCATGCTGACTTTTTATGTATTTAGAGCATTTAAGATATTTTCTCACTGACTAATCAAAAAACTTTTGAGCTAGCAAGATCAGTGGTACTAAATCAGTGGTAAAAATCAAAAAACGTTTGAGCAAGATCAGTGTTAACTTTTTAAACAAGATCAGTGATACTAAAGCCATTCATTTTGATGACCAATAATAACAATGAGAATTTTGATGACCAATAATAACAATAATGAGAATAATAATTGATGGGATAATGAGAAAGAATTTGATCAGAAGGAGATCAGAGTCTTGGGAAGAAATAGAACAATAAATAACAAAAGGAATTTTGATTAATTGAAGAGGTGGTGCTGGTGGTAAAGAAGAGGTGGTGAGCAGAATCAAAAAAAAAAATAGAATAGTCAGAGGACCAAGTTTAACGAAGGTAAAAAAAAATATAACCTGGTTAAGTATCTGACTATTGGTATCTTTGTGAATCAAAGAACAACATCCATCAACACTATGATCTGAAGATGAAACAGCAAATTTTAAATAAGTCTCATAAAGAGAACAATTTAAAGAAATAACAGAGAAACTTATATGTGCAACATAACGTTGATTAACAGTGTTTCTCTTACTCTGGTATTTTATAGCTGTTGATGGAACCACTTCTCTGAGAATTACCATAGAGTTCAGGAAACCTGTCAATACCAGTAAACTGAATTTTAGAGCATTATCTTCATTAGGAGATAACAGGAAGAATTGCATAGTCAATACTAAGGAGACATAAGCAAACACCCATAAGTAGAGTCAAGAAGTTCCAGGATTTTTCATCTTAGACAGGAAACAATGTAACACAGGTTTACATCTATGCCAGTCCATTAGATGAAGGGGTTCCAGGCTAGTCAACAAAAACTTTTTTCCATTAAGTTCTTTGCCTAGGATACCTTCTACCATTTTAATTTATTTTATTATGATCCAGTTAACATCTGCTCAATGTAAATATTTACTTAACCAAGATTAAAGTCCTTTACTTGATTTTACTTGAACAAGAGCATTATAAGTCAGAGTTAACTTCTATTCTTTGTCTAGTAAAGCCAATCTTACAAGGCAGCATGACACAAGGTAGGTTGTACTAGATTACATTTTATTAATAGCAGAGTAATAATGATGGTGTTAATTCTAAACTGAACTAATAATTGCAGTGATGATTGAATATTTTAGTGGAACAAATTATTGGAACAAATTACTGAAACATTCCCAGAAAGGAATTTTTTTTGGAGCAAACTACTAAAACATATTACTGGAAGTAAGTACTGAAACAAATAACTGCAAAAATATTAGTAGAACAAACTACTGGCGAGTTATTTATCATTAAAAAATAATACCTTTTTTTCATCATCAACTTCTTCGTCATCTAAAAAAAGGTTATGGTGAGTTTTGCAAGAATACAAAAACTTCATCTTTCATATATGTATAAAACATTGCACTTAGCTAACTTTGTTAATAATTATAACTGCCATTATAAATTATAATGCAATATTACATCGTATAGCATATAAATACTATATCAATATAATACTATATATGTAAATAAATATATTAAATATATTAAATATAAAAAATACTATATAAATATAAATATAATACTATATAAATACATAGCAACTTAAATATCAAAGCAGCTTAAAAAGATTAGATTTATTAAAAAGTTTCAAAATGTTTTTTAAGTTTTTTACATAAAAATAATTTATAATTTATTTTTGATGCTTCTATTTAAGTTGATTTCTACATTTTAACAGATAAATTAGGATAAAAATGCAAACTTTCAAGTCGCCTCGCTATGTGATTATCAAAACATTTTGACATTTTTTAAAACTACAATGTTGCTTGAAACTATAACTTTGTTTGAAACTACAACTTTGTTTGAAACTACAATTTTATTTGAAACTACAACGTTGTTGTATTAGTGTTAGTGGTTAAAAAATATACAAACTTTAGATATTGATTTGGTTATCTAAAATCTAAAAGGATGAGCTTAATGCTGATATTTGGAATGTTTTAGTCTTCATCATAACTCATGGAATCTTTCTCTAAGAGCAATTGTGCTATTCCCTCACCAATTCTCACTTAAAAAATTGGTAAAATATCAGATTTTGAAGTCTCTTATTTCCCTTCCAATTTAAAAGCAAAAATAAATATAAAAAATCTTGAGCGCCCAGCTAGCTTATAATTATGTCTAGAAACTGCAAAAAAAAAGTCAAAGACCGGATTCATCTTCATCATAACTTAAAAACATGCTATTGATAGCTAGAATAGAAAGTAACAAAAAAATAACTTGTAAATATTTAAAGTGTAGTTTAAAATACAATAACATTGAAGTAACTAAATAATCGAGAGCTGCCAAATCTATTGCCAAATCTAAAAGAAGAACTTTAAAAAACTGATATTTTTGGTATAAATCCGATACACCCCACCCTACTACTTAAAAAATACAGATCAAACATGATTACAGCATTAAAAAATTTTGTGACATTTCAATGATTTATCATAAACTTTTATTTAATATCAAGAAAGATGTTTCACGCTTTTTAATCAACACAGCATAAAGAAAAGAAAAAAAAAAGTATATCATCCTATTTTTGAAAAAAAAAGTATATCATCCTATTTTCAAAAAAAAAAAGAAAAAAGAAATATATCATCCTATTTTAAACACTATAAATTTGACATTTAAAACTAAACTAGAAAAAAATAAACAGTTCATCAATTTTAATAAAACATTTTACTCAAATATTATTTTTTTAAATAAGAGTAAGATTACCATGTTCATTTTCTTCATCTTTTTCATTTTCTTTACCTCCCTCTAGCATATCAGAAGCTTGGTTGGGTTTTGATTTAACAGCCTAAAGTTAAAAAAACTTGTTCTATACATGAGGTTTAATATATATTCTTTGAACAACAGTTGGAACTAATTTGTTGCGTACATTCTGGAGGATTTCACATTACGTACATTCTGGAAGATCTCACATAATTTATACTTTGGTTATTTTATTGTTTTAATCGTTTTGCAAAATATAGGAATGCCATTTACTGATTCTATTGTACCACTTACCAATTCACCATAAAAAAATGTAGCTTTATTAACCTTTTGCTCAATTTATAATCAATAGTGATTAGATAGAGTGGGTCAATAGAGTGGGTCAGTTGTAAATCTTCCAGGTAACATTTTGGTGCAGCATTCTTTTACATACATAAAAAAATACATACAAAAGAATGATACATACATAAAAAAATGATGCAACAAAAAAGTAGTAATGGGTTCTTAATGTTTTTTGATCTAAGCCTGCATCTGTATCTTTGGTCAACTTAAATTTTCTGTTGCCCAGTTTACTAGTCATTTGTTCTGATAGTGTTGCAAGACTTGGTAAAAATTACAGCTGAGCATCTTCTGAAATTGATACAACAACCTGAATCTTTACATCTAATGTCAGCATATGATCATTTTGTATTTGAATTTCCAAGAGATTTACAGATACTTTAATAAAAGTAATATTCTCACATTAAGTAATAGTGTCATGCCACATGTCACATGCCACATGTCACAAGCTACTTTTATGTTACTGTCAGATTTTAAAGCAGTCGCAGTTTAATCACAAAATTTTACAATGTTATTTTAAAATACTTAACTATATATTGTTATATATAAATAAGTATTTTATTGTTAAAATACTTAAGATATTTTTAAACTTAAGAAATTAGCATGCAAGTCTTCCCATTTTATTTCTCACACAATTTTTGGTTTTTATGGTCTTCTGAATGCAACATTAGTCACCAAGGCAACTCATAAAGACTATTCATTAAAACCATATTAATTTATTTATGCAATGTTTGATGGTGTTAATGTTTAATCTAACTGCATTGCTTTTTAAAGCTAAATAATTAACATTCTCTTGTAGAATGATATATCCTGTCTAGATTATTATTAGTTAAAACTCATGATTATTTTGGCTGAATTGTTAAATTTTAGTGAAATAAAAATAAAAAATAAAATAGTAAACAAAGTAAATAAAAAAATAGTATATAAAATAGTAAAATAGCTGTAAACAAAGTCACTGCATACAAAACACCTAATATATTTAAAAGTTTATAAAACTTTTTAAAAAAAAGTTTTATAAACTTTCTTTAAAAATCAAAATTTTATAAATTAAATTATTTTCATTCTATATTAAATAAGCAAATATCAATAAATAATATTGATAAGCTTTGTTTAGATATTTAGCATAAATTTTCTACAATTTTTATTTTTACCAACAAGACACTAAAAACTAAAACAAATTTAATAAGTCAAATTACATCAACAAGAATATTAAAAGCTTCTTGAGTTATATAAGGAACAATAGTTGGAAAAACAGCATCAACAACTTGGCGCATAAGATAAGATGACTGTGCCAAAAAACCCAGCAGAATTTCAGTAAGTACTTCTGTCCAATGTGGTGCTTTAAAATAATGAAAAATATATATATATATATATATATATATATATATATATATATATATACATATTTATATATATATATATATATATATATATATATATATATATATATATATATATATATATATATATATATATATATATATATATATATATATATATATATATATATATATATATATATAAATAAACACATATTACATTAATACAATACACAAGGATTTAGTACTTCAACTGATGAGTTAAGAACAATCCATTTTTACACATAACAAAAAGTTAATTTTTCAAATAAGTTTTTATGTTTTTATAATAATTTTAAGAATAATTATTAGATTCAGAAAAAAAAAAGATTTCCATTATACTTCATTTATTTAGGGTTCAATTTTGAATCTACTTTTTTTAAAACAGTTTTAATTAAAAGCTTTTCAAAAAGCAAATTAAATATAAAAATTTATATTTTTTACCTTTTGCATTTTTTTTCTTTTTAATTTGAGATTTCTTGTAACACGAATGCAAATCCTTAAAAACATAAATTCTACATCAAATCTGCATTAAATCTATTAAATCTAAAACTATATAATAAACTTAAAGATAAAAAAAACTATACTAAGTTAAATTATCCTATAAAGAGATTTTATTAGGCAATAAAATAATTGAATAGCACTTATAGGAATATGGTTATCTCAAAGAATAACATTTGAAATAACATGGTTATCTCAAATATTTAGTTTACTCAATAAAGATACCATTAATGTATCCACTGCTTCCTCATGATCAGAAAACAATTGAAGTGTAGAATGAGCAAACAACATTTCAGTGCTTTTTGCTTTCATGGCATTATCTTTTTCTCCCTTCTATAAAAAAATATAACTCTTTATAGTTGTTATAACAATTAAAATTATATAAAAAGTTTTAATTTACAATTACAGGTTAGTATGAAATATTTATATTTATAAATAATATGCTTGCAAATTAAAATTATATATTGGTATAATAATATAATTATTTTAAATATGGTACAGTAGATTTTATTTTCATTTATAACTGAAATATTTTTTTACTAAATGTTACTTGTACACATGATAATTTAACTAAAAAAATTTTAATTTTGTTTTTAGGTGACATAAATTTTACAAGAGCAACTCAAATCACAATAAACATAATAAAACACAAAGTTTATGAATGTGTTACAAAGCGTTAAAAAAATTAGTTTTGACATATTTAAAAAGGAGACAATCCACAAAATCAATCATACACAGAAAACATAAACCACCATTTCCTTAAAAATAAAAAAGTTCACATAAATATAACATTTTTTCAACAATACACAGTGGTCCAGAAATGCCACTTTTGAGGCAAAAATCATATCTTCGCCAATTTTGAAGCTAAAAAGCTAAAATTTTCTGTGAATGTTCATTACACCCTGACCAACAATAACTATTATTGTAATGTTGGTTTTTATATCTCTGAAGGACACACCAATAACACAAAACAAAGGACAATTAAGATAACGAATAATAAACATGTGATAAGTATTTCCTATATAATTTTCAACTTTCTATAAACTATAAATAGTTCCCAGCATGTATGACACATTTTTGTTAAACGAATTAATATCATACATGTGCAGAACACCATGAACACATAGCCTAATAGCTTACATATTAGCTTACTTTAACATAATTTTAACATAATTATCTTTAAAATACTTTTTAACTAAATATTCTCTGGAAGACAAATTGCACATTTATTATATCTTGATAGATTGCATAAACATGTAGAGTAGCACACCAAGGACAAAAAGTAGATATTATATATGAAACAAGAACAATACCAAGGACAAAAAGTAAACACAACAAACGACACATGTTACAAGACAATATTTAAATTAATTTAACAATTTTCTTGATTTAAGGTACACTTACAAATATTATGAATATTAATTTGTAAAATAAACAAACTCAAAAACAACACACCAAAGACACATGACATCTATACACATATACATCTGTATGTTATTTTACAACACACCAAAGACACAACATAAGACATGCTTTTTTTCATATTTTGACTTTCTGGTCGATTAATAAACAAAATCTTCAAGGACACATATTTTATAATTACCTAAACATTAATATTCTATGCATATGGGAGCATAACAAGAACATACGACTACTTAAAAAGAACGCGTAATTTTGATTTTATATCAAGATTATAAATAAAAATAAATTGACTTTAATATTTCTATTTTTTTTTTTTTTACTAAACTGAGCTATCTAAAAACACATAATTACGAAGGGTTTGAGTTTAAAAAAAATAACAATGAAACAGGTGTCAAATCCCTACTTAAAAAATAAATGTGCTATCGTAAACATGCAGCTTTTTACAGATTTCTTTAAATAAAGTGAATCTATTCAGGACCCATATTATCACTACAACAATTAAAAATAAAATAAAGAATATAATTCTATTAACAAAAATAACAAAAAAGGTCTAAATATTCTGCTGGAAGAGCAAGCTTTTTCTTTGATTCAGAACTTTGCCTCATAGAAGTAATAAAGGGGTCTGATGAGCAGAGTAATCCTCGCATTACATCTTCATTTGTAATTTTTCTAGAAAACTTTCTTGTAAAATGTTCTAGAAAATTTTTAACAGCTTTATTTTTACTTTCCTGGGCTTCTTCAGATAAGAGACCAATTGGAACTGGCTTGTCTCTTACAACCTGTTGTGAATGGACAATCATCTTGTGCACTCCAGCAGACATAGGATACCATTTAAAATGTACTACATATATCTTAAATGTATCTTTGCAATATATTTCCAGTTTATCTGGATCAATTGGATGTTTACGGGACAATACACAAAGAATAATGAAAAATCTTTTAACAAGATCCTTATCAATTCTAAGTATTTCAGCCAAAGTTTTATGGCTTCTAAATGTGCTTCTTGCTGTGTTTTCATTATTGGATGCAACAGAGCCACCAGTCTGAGTGTATCTTTAATTTTTTCCTGAATTTCTTTTTTCGACTTGCAACTATTTTTTTCTTTTTAAGAGTGTTTACATGAAAAAATCTGCAATCATTGTACCCTGGTCTTCTTCTCTGTCCAATATGTAACAGACATTCAAAACAACGAATCCAGAGATGGAGAGTGTGAATTTGAAGCTCTAAAGACATCTGATTTGGTTCTCTACTGTAAGCAATTATAAAGTCATTTATTTTTATAGGATTTAATCCGCATATTTTGCATAAATAATAAGAATCACTTAATGGAGAAAGAAGAGTGGAAACTTTCCCATCAATCATAATACATTCTAACTTGTGCTTGGCTTGAAATAAATCTATGGTTGTTGCTCTGAGTTTAGTTGACATTAAAAAATCATATTGTGCCTTAACAATTTGCTGATTTTCTTTAACGTATTGCATTCGAACAAGACAACAATATTGAGTTGAGGATGTTTTGGGGTTAATCCAAAAAATAACATTAGTTTGCTGTATTTTCAGTTGCACAGGTACTTTACATGAAAGAAACAAAGATTCTTCAACTGGAACTGGCAATCTGCCCTTTTCAACTTCAGTTCTCTGTTTATAAACAAACTGTCCAGATGAACTATCGAATTCAACTTTGCTTATAAGAAGAAGAGTATTGCAAGGCTCAGGTAGTTTTGATTTATCCAAAACTTTCTGAATTCTGTTTGTAGTGTGATCCATTATTAATTGAAGATTCGTAGAAGCACTGTAGTTTAATGTGACTATTCTGGAATCTGGAATGCAATTACTTTTAGCTTTCACAATAAAATTGTAGGCAGGGTATAACATACAACCTTTATTTAAGGCCCATAGACGGATAGTTTGATAGTCAGTTTTACCCATTCTACAGTCTAACAATAAAGCTAAAGCTTCTTCTGCTGAGTAGCTTTTACAGCATGATATGTTGCAGGATCCATCAGTTTTACTTTCCATCAAATGTTTAATAACTTTTACATCTTTAAGTCGTCCTTCTTTTATTGAGATTTAGAATAAGGGCATGAAATGGACTTTCAGTGGTAACACCTTCTTTTTTTAGACCTTGTTGAGAGATCTTCAAATGATTTTGAAGGTGCACTTTGTTGCACATTTTTTATCCTAACTTGCTGTTGAAATTGGTTAGCAATAAATTCCATAAATAACCATTTCTCGTGACGATTTATAAACCTTCCTTTTTGTCTACCTGTCTCATTCTATTTCTTTTTAAAGTTTTTCATAAATTTTTTGTTTAACCTCATCTGATTGTAGTTTTGATAACATTGAGAAATCAATATACAATATTTGGTTTTCGCTTCCTTACTATTTAAACTTTCATAATTATTCTCATACTTTCCTTAAATTAAGTAATCTAAAGTTTCTTTATTCCTCATATTTGAAATTGGTTTCACCGCTAAATAACTATTGAATATTATTTGTTTTTCAATTTTGTTTATTGGATTGTTTTATTTATGTTTTGTTTGACCGATTTTTGCCTGAAAAAATGTGAATTTCTTTAATTTTTGAACTTCAAACCCTTTCTTGACAAATTTTTTCTTAAATTACGGACCTTAAAAGTTTAAATCTGGTTTTCATATAAGATATGTAATTGAATTTTTTATTTGTTTTTATTATAAAACAATTTTTTTTTTGTATTTATGGCATGGTTCTGGACCACTGTGCAATAAGGTACATTGTCTTTCATATGTTTTTGAAAAAAATAAAATTAAAGCTTAGGAAAAGGTGTATTCTTATGTAAAATTAAATTTTAAGGAAGGTTTGTTATGGACAACTTTTTGATTAGAAAAAGTTTTGATACCCAAATTTTCATATTTAGACATTGTTATTAGACTGTTTTATAACTCTAAAAGACCACAAAAAAACCTAAAATCTAAACAAACTGTTCGACTTATGAACCATTATTTTAAATATGATTTATAAGTTGAACAGTTTGATTGTTTTTATTTTTCATAAAATTTATTTTGAAATTGAAAGAATTTCAAAATAAATTTTATCTAATTATTTCATTAAAGAAAAGCAATTTTGTAAGTTTTTAGTCCTTTATATTCATGATTTTTATACATCAATTAAAGTCAAGCAATGCAATAAACTTTGCAGAACAACACATAACAATAAATATTAAACAAAAAAATTCATTGAACATGCAGGAAAGTCATTATTATTTAGCAATGGAACAGCTTGAATTAAGAAAAAGGGAGGTTTATTTGATGCACCATGGGAGTGTTTGATGGCGTGGAGATTTGCGAACTAGTAAAAATATTTCTTTTGCATCAACTATCACAGTTTTATAACAAAAATGATTTTGGTATCATGATGGTTTAGAGATTTTGGTATATATCGAGATGATGGTTTGGTATGATGATTGGTGATGGTGATGGTTTAGCTATGTATAGGAATAAAAGTGGTCAGGAAATGGAAAAGATAAAAAAACACTTTATCAAAAATTTTAAAAGTAACAATCTGCTTACCTCTATCAAGTGTAATTTAAAAATAGTTAACTACCTTGATCTAACACTAAACCTTAATGACAGTTCTTTTCAACCTTACTGCAAACTGGATAATATACTTAGTTACATACATACGGACTCTAATCACCCAACAAGTATATTAAAAAGCATTCCTAGGTCTATCGAACTAAGATTGTCAACTGCAGCTTCAAGTGAAGCTATTTTTTTAAAAAGTCTTTTTCCTTATTAAGAAGCCTTGAAATAATCTGGGTAGAATTGTGAAATTTTATCATCCAAATATAAAGCCAGCACATAACAATCAAAAAGGCAAGATAATTTGGTACAATCTTCCTTTCAGTCTAAATGTTCTAACAAAAATAAGCA